CCCAAAACCCCAAAACCCCAAAACCCCAAAACCCCAAAACCCCGGGGGGGAGGATAGGAATTGAACTGTTTAGTAGAGGGGAGGGTAAAGAATTTGTTGATGGACTTTTGGATATGGGGGTCACAGATTTTGCTGTCTTGTGTGTTTTTGAGGAAGGTTTCTTTGCGGTTGTACCTTTTGGAGAGGCAATCGAAGGTCTCCATCATGTCTACTCCGATTATGTCTCTAGAGATGAGATAGGGGGTTACTTGTTGAATGCTTGGAAATTTCTGGTTTTTAAATATTCTGTAAAGCTTGGTAATTTTTCAACAGCTTTGTTTTCTTGGTTTTGAGTAAAAGGAAAGCATCTGTTATAAGTCCTAGCAGAATATGGTTATGTCATTAAAATTCTCACCTTCCCTATAAATAAGATGCATTTATTACGTATTTATAATTTATATTAGTCCCTCCTGAGCGATGAAAAAGAAGGTTTTCTAACGATCTTTCTTTCTTCACCTGAGTCATAATAGAGGACTCTTTCTTGGTTTCATTTGAATTTTCCATAAAGTATCCATTCCTTGGTTTATAATTGCTCTGATATCGACTTGTTTGAGGGATAGCAGTCTGAATTGGAGATCCAAATCTTTGGTTGCTCAAGTAATTTTCTTTTCTTATTTCTCTATTTTCTAAAACTTCAGCCTAAATTTACTAATAAGCATCTTTAATTTCTTGGATAAGTGTGTATTTTTCAGAAATTTTGGAGAAAGAGGTGTTTTAGTTTGTTCTAAAGCCTCTCCTAAACATTTGAAGATACTCAAATTACCAGTAAGTTTAAGCTTTATATTGCTTGAATTGTCACTAAAGGTACTCTTCATTCTTTGCTTATTACAAAGACCTCTATGAGAGATCGTATGAAATCTATCCATGAGCAGTTTATTTTTCGATTTCATTAACGTATTATCCTTCTTTGAAGCAATCCTTAAGCCAATATTGTCTGGAAACTTTTTACTAAAATTACATTAACTTCTGGCTTTACTTTATTCTGAGTTCTTTTTTTAAAGCTCTTAGCACAGAAGTGGGCTTTTTATTTAGAGTATATCTGAGAATGATTGAAACTAACAGCAATATGGGGCTTATTAAAGCCAGAATTGCAATCTCTTTCTAGAGAAAAGTGTCCAGGCATTCTTGGATTCTGACCTGATTGTAAATTCTGATTTTCAAACATACTTGGTGACTATAGCACTCTGATTAGAAATTTAAACAGCCTTCTTGCTTACATTAGTGTTGATAAGTTTTAATTTTTATAAATTTGGGGTTTTGGGGTTTTGGGGTTTTGGGGGTTTTGGGG